TGGGGGGGTGATTGAGAAGGATGGGGAACAGAGTACACAGAGTATAGAGTAGTACAAATCAGTAGTTTTACTGGACATTTACTTGTACTTTTAGTTTGTCTTGACATGCACAAAATATGATTGCAAGTGCTGGGCAACATGAAGTGGTTCTTTATTGGACACCACTTTGTGCACTTAAATAAGTCATTCTAATGAGAACAGTGTTAATTGACTGTGTAAGTTTGTAGATGGGGGGGATGGAGGGGGACAGAAGGGGGAGGGCAGATGAATACTCACCTCTCTGAAGTCTGTAAGAACCTGGAGGAACTCCAACATGTTCTGCGGTGAGTTGACCTGAGGATTTTGGAGAGAAACAATGGTTTGTTATTGAGTTGATTCAAAATGACATGTCAGAAAAATTAGACAAGAGAAATCTAAGTAGGGTCTATATATACGTATATCTATATATAGATTGTATATATTTCACCATTTATTCAAGGGTTATTTTATTTTATTTTCATGTCAAACTCCACTGAGGCAAATAAAAATTGAACTTACTTGACAATGTGCCTCAGACCACAATATGAAAATAATGATATGACTTCATGTCAGTGTCAGCGGTGCAGCTCAGGGTGATGTCAGTCTGAGGGATGATGGAAAAGCACAAGATGAAGGGTTTAAAGAATCAGTGATGGTCAGAGCTGGAGACAAATCACAGGCGAAGAAGAAGGACTGAAGGAGGAGAATTAGACAATAAACAAACACCAAAGTAAAAACACAGTTGAAGCTGTGATGAAGAGGTGAGTTGTGTTGCTGCTGAACAAAATCCTGTCTGAAATAACAAGGCTTTTCAAAACTGTTTGTGCTTCACTGTACTTTTCTACGCCCCCTCAATCACATACCTGTCTCCTGGGTAACTGCTGTGCTGTGTGTGTGTGTGTGTGTGTGTGTGTGTGAGAGACTGACACACACACACAGTGAGAAGAAAATTCAACAGCAGTGAGTGAACACACTCACATGCACCCACTTACACCACGGCTCTCTGCAGTCACACTGCGACCAGAACGCAGCCAATACGGAACCTGTTATTGTGATGTCAGCCAATCAGAGAGCGGCATGCTGACACACCCACAGGAGGGTGTGTGAGCAGTAACGTACGCACCAAATAAAGGAAGAGAGTGTGTATGGATAAGTCTCCGTTTGGTTCAGATGTGATGCTGATGTTGGTCGTCTGTGGAGAGAACAGAGACAGTGGAACTCTCACCGGGGGAGACAGGAACACACACACAGTTGGTGTCAGCAAAGATTTAATTACACATGGACATGCAGGAATTCAGAGGGAAACACACCCACACACTCTCACTCACCTTTGCCAGTGTTTTGAGGGTCGAGTCATGAACGGTCAGCAGTGGAAAATGTGTCTCTCCTGTGGTCAGATCTGCAGCTCAGCACGGGAAACTCAACTTTCCTCCATTTTATTGCAAACCAGCAGATTCATTACAGCTCTGCCAAAATGGAGGCCTGATGGAGTCCAGTGGTGATTAAAGGGGCAGAACATAGTGAAGAAATGCAGGAGTTAATTTGTGGGTGGATGAGCTGCAGCGTCTTTTTTTTTTTCTGTTACAGTTTTAGAACGTGCAGCGCTGCCTTCTCACCGACATAAATCATGTGACTCTGCTGTAAATATGGAGTTATACCCCAGAGCCGCTTTGCATAAATTAGCCTAACGACTAAAACAGTAGGACAGGGAGAGTATCCAGGTAAAGAAGACACATCCAGATATAGACAGTGTTGGAAACAGTCAATTATCACCTGGATACAAAACCAAATTAAACTGAGAAATAGAAAAAAAACACCAGCGCCATTTTGACCTTTCACCTGCTTTAGGTTTTTTGTCAAAGTGATACATTTAAAACTGATCTGTGAAAAAGTGACATAGAATGAGCGCGTGAAGTGTGTTATTTGAACAACAAGGCATACAGACACAGCACAAGCTTGCCCTCCTGTGGGGTGGCACAGTAATGCACCATTAAAATGCTACACATTTAACAAGGTCTTGTTTTAGTTTTTGTCAATCATAATTATATATGATACATATTGGAATAATTCTATATAACCACAAGAATCAAACATTAAAAAAAGTGTAGGTTTCATCATGAGAATCCCACAAGCAGCAGAGTAGAGTTCCATCTGTTTATTGATTAACTATAAAATACTGAGTTACTAAAACAATTTGAAAGAAACACTGATAAACATGGTTGTCGTCTGTAAAAAAAAAAAGGAGAAAAAAATCCTTACACGTACAGTATAGAGCAACAGAATATATCTGCTTTCGGATTTATCTCTAAAATGTTTTCTTTTTTGCATTTTTACAAGATTATATGTGTACAAAGTATATTCTGATAGTTTCTTTTTCCTCTTCCCTCCACGTTGATCATTTACAAAACTTAGATGATTTTTCTATTTATCTTCAAAATAATCTTTTTTTTTTCTGTAACAGGACAATTATGATACTGAAGGAACAGCAGACGAAGAACCAGCCTCCAGTCCACCTCGCTCTCTCTCGCTCTCTCTCTCTCTCTCTCTATGTCTCTCTCTCTCTCATTTTAGCAGCTAGCTCCCAGTGCCTGTCAGCAATTATTGCTTGAGAGGCGTGGATGATTGTTCAGAGAGGGGAAGAAAAAAAATAACAAACGAAAAAGAAAGGAAAAAAAAAAGAACACAAAAAAAATCAAAATGATAAAAAAACAAAACAGGGAAGTGAAGTCAGGCTCATAAAACATACAACACCAAATGAGAATGAAGGCAAAGAGGGGAACACACGTGTTAGCATGTGTGTGTGTTTGTGTGTGTGTGTGTGTGTGTGTTGGACCCTGTTTAAAGGCCTAAGGCTGGGCTTCGAATAAAGATAGGGGACTAATAAAGACTAAAAAAAGGCAATAAAACACACCGTAATGGGTTACAAAGGTGTGTGTGTGTGTGATGATATAAGGGTGTGACATTTCACTTCTTCACACACACACACACTTAAGAAAAAGTGCTTCAGCAGCTTCAGGGGTTAAAGGAAAGAAAAGAAAAAAAAGAGAGGTATAACGGGGCACTTGAACTTGTTCACTCTGCAAACACTGGTACGAGGCTGTTTATCCATCACTCTCTCTCTCTCACGGCTGAGTCGCACAAAAACAGACCCTTTTAGTCGACTGTCACTCAACACCACAGAACATTTGTGAGCGGAGGAGCAGACGGGGATCCTTTGTGTCACTTCAGGCTGAAAGGAAAGCCAAAGCAGCAGCTGGAGGAGCAGCTGAGCCTCCGCGAGATATGATTCAAATTTAATCCAAATTTTTTTTTTTACATCAGGACCTCGAGTCACATGTACCTGCAAAACTGCCATCAGTCAGAACGGACTAGCAGCAAATCACCTACTCTTCTTCAGTGGGCGTCTTATAACAACTGACTTATATACATATAAATGTCAATTGTTGTTTCTTTGTTTTTGTTTTTTGTTTTTTTATCGGGGGCGGGTGTCGATCAGAGAGGAGGAAAATCTTCCTGATTTCACGCAGTGTGGATAAAACACATGATTTAGCCTATCATAAAATCAGACAAAACCAAACGATCATAAAGTAAGAGTAAGAAAATATTAAACCTATTGAATATCAACAAGACAATCTTCTATCTCTGCCGTAGGAGCAGAGAGCGGCCAAGGAGCGGTAGGAAATGTACAAGAACATCAACATGAAGATACTGTACGTTCATCTGCGAATACAGCCAGGAGCACGGGCTGCACACAGACACTGAGGTACAGTATCTGATACACAATCTATACACAATAGTGTAACTACGTGGGTTAAGAGCTCAGGAGCAGAGGGACGCTGAGAATCAGAAGATTTCCAGCATCGTCAGATTGGAGGGAACGCCAATCTGGTCTGAGGACAGTGGCCGGAAAACGTGACGTGGCAATTAATCATCATCATCTTCATCTTCATCATCGTCATTGTCTTAAGGCCCGGGAGAGTTAAGACACCCAAAGCTCACAACCCTGAGCCCAACATTCAACAGTCTCACTCTACGACAGGTAAAATAAAGGCACGTACATAATAGTAATAAGCAGCTGAAAAAAAAGAAAAAAAAACCTCAAACAGGACAAGTGTGGTTGTGTGTGTTTTCCTCTGTGTGTGACTGAGGTTGAAGCCAGCGAATCAGGGGATGGGTTTTTAGCAGAAGCATTGAAAAAAGGCAAAAAAAAAACAAACAAAAAAAAAACCAAACAAACGTATACATCTGTGCTCTGCAGCAGCAGAGATGGTACAAAGTGCACTCATGTCAAATATGATGGCTGGGTGAGTGAAGGGTGAGGAGGGATGAAAAGGTGAGACGGACATTCTTAAAACAAAAAGTCGAGGGAGGGGGGAAAAAAAATACGACAATACGACCAAGACTGGACATTTACAGGGTGAACACACTGCAGCCCGACGGAGAAACGAAAAGATCCACTGAAATAATGACGAACACTGTGTTTAAAACAGGAAATGTGCTGATTTTATCAGTGTCTGCAGCTTCACACTGTATTATCAACGACCTTGGTGCGTACCGGTGTTTCTAACCACCCTGAAAACAACTGGAAAAAAAAAAAAGGCGGGGAGAAATCCACTCCATGTGACTCAACACTGTTGATTAACGGCCTGGTTAATTATTTAAAGGTAAATTATGCATTCATTTCCCCAAGGATTCGACCAATGGAAATAAAACAACGGTCATCGTATTTGCAGTGATCCCGCCCTCTGCTTGTATTTTTTTCTTTATACATAAAATAAACCATTTAAAACAGCCCAGTAGGTGGCAGTAATGCAACAAAAGGGTACAAAGGTGCTGTTTAAAACTAGAGGTGAGTGAGGGTCAGGATCTAATGAATGCTAATTGTAAATTTTATTGGTGTTTTATCACCTACTGTTGGGAGGGGAGCGGACCTACGATCT